GCCTCTCCTGCTCTCTCCAGGCTCTGCTGCAGTCATGGGAGGGGTCTGTCTCTCCTGGCTTCTCCATCACACTGTGCCTCATGCACCTGCTCCCATGTATGTTCACTCAGGATGAGCTGTGTGCTAGGTGTAAGGGCTTGTTACGAACAGAAACATTCCCCTGTAGGCCATGCTAGGGCCCAGGTGCTTCCTCATGACATTCTGGCATTTGCTTTCATCTGCTTGCCTAGATCATTGTTAAGAGATGAAGAGGCAGAGGAAATGAGCAGGAGAGAGACAATGGGGGTCTTGCCATCAGGGCAAGGGGTGCAAAGGTAAGTAACAGGGGTCCTGATGGTCTGGCTAATCAGGGGGTGGGGGGGCACACAGTCTTGCAAGGCCTTAAATGCCTGTACACCAATGCTCGTAGCATGGGGAACAAACAGGAGGAACTCGCCCTCAGAATAGCTAGTTCAAATCCAGATGTCGTAGGGTTAACAGAGACATGGTGGGACTCATCCCATGACTGGGCAGTTAACATTAGGGGCTATAGGCTGTACAGGCGGGATAGAGAAGGCAGAAAAGGGGGGGGGGGGGCACTTTATGTCAAGGAGCACTACACATCCTCTGCCAGCAGTATGGGGTCAGGGGAAGGGCGAGCTGAAGTGCTCTGGGTCAAGATCCAGGGGGGGCAAGGCGAGAGGGATTTGACAGTGGGGGTCTATTACAGACCCCCCAATCAGGAGGAGGAGCTGGACAGGGAATTTTCAGGCCAGCTTGCGGAGACACTAAAAGCAAGGGATGTAGTTGTCATGGGCGATTTTAATTACCCGGACATCTGCTGGGAGGAGCAGTCAGCCGGGACGGACCGCTCCAGGAGGTTCTTGGCCGAGTTGCAGGACCTCCACTTGATTCAGGAGGTGCACAGTCCCACCAGAGGAGATGCTCTGCTGGACCTGGTCCTGGCCGCAGGCGACGACCTGGTAAGAGGTTTTGGTGGTCCAGACTCCTGGAACCTCCTTTGGCTCCCAGATGCATCTGGGGGTCAACTCCCTACTGCAGGGCTTGGCAGCCTGTGACCAGTGAGTGGGTTTGATCCAACTCATGAAGAAGTCCAATCTTGTCTGCCTGAGTCCAGTGTGGCCTGGAGGATTGGAGGCATAGAGCTGCCCTATGTTGCATGTCCCTTCCGCAGCGCCAACCTCCACTGCATGTGCAATTCTCCTCCTGGCCGTGGGGTTGAGGATTAGCAGCAAGGCTGAGCACAGGCAGCTCACCACTCCAGTGGGGAGGGGCTGGTGTATGGCCCTGGGGCCAGGCTGCAAAGGGTGGCTTGCACCAACAAAAGGTTTCCCCCCCCCGCTCTACAGGGACACCAGGCCATCAGCACTAAAACACAGGGGAGCCTGGGAATCAAGCCCTTGCTCCTCCTATGCCACATCAGGGGGTATGAAGTGGCCCTCTTCTCAGGCTGCTGCTGCTAGAGGGGCTGCTCTTCTGGACATGCTCTGTTTCCTGGGGGGCTTGCTTCATGGCACAGCCTGTTTCTGCACTGGGTGAGGGGTTTCTCTGGGCCCTTCTCTCACTAAGGGGCTGGTGATATTCTTGGGTTTTGCCCCATGTTCCCCACAGCATACTTTGGGCACGAATTTGACCACGGACTCCTCTAGCTCCCTCCCCTGCTGCTGTTGACATCTGGACTCCTGCTGCATCCTTACCCATTAGACTGTCATTGTTGCATGGCAGAGCCCTTCTTTGCTGTTATGTCCAGCGCTCAGCAAAAAGGATCAAGGCTTCTGGGCTTTATTCTGCAGTGAGTATCACTGCCTGTGTACAGAGGATGAGTAGGTTTCCCCAGAGAATCCATGGGCAGGATCTAGACTGGTTTCAGCTTAGGAATTGCTGAAAGAATTTTAATTAAGAAAAACATTTACCCATGGACTGCTGCCAGGTCAGCTGGTACTCAGTGTCATTTCCAGGAAGAGAAACTCCCAGCTGCTGCTCATGTCTGAGCATATGCCAGAGCTCAGGAAAGTGAAACCAAGCCTGTCCCACCCTCCCCTCAGAGCCATGACTGCTGACAAACCTGTAGAAAACCTCTGGGATGAAGCGACCTGCTCCATTAGCCTGGACTTCTTCAGGGATCTGGTGATGATCGTGGGCTGTGGGCACAACTTCTGCCGAGCCTGCATCACCCAGTGCTGGGAGGGGACCGAGACAGATGTCACCTGCCCCCAATGCAGACAGACCTTTCCCCAGAGGACCCTGGGCCCAAACAGGCAGCTGGTGAATATTGTAGAAATAGCCCAGAGGCTGCGTGTGCAGAAAGCCGAGGGAGCCGAAGGGCAGTGAGTGTGTGGGGAGCACCAGGAGGCTCTGAAACTGTTCTGCCAAGATGATGAAACCCCCATCTGTGTGGTGTGCGACCGATCCCGGGTACATCGAAGTGTTGTACGACTGACCCCGTGTACATCGAGCTCACAGCATATTTCCTGCGGAGGAGGCTGCCAAGGAGTACAAGGTAGGAACCACTGCTTGGCTAATACGCACCAGCTTTAAATTTAATTGCAGGTTCATATCTTCCCACATTTCCTTCTACCCATCATCTCTCTCAGGTGCTGGTGTGACCAACTGTGGGGAGCCTCCCTTGTAGGGAA